GGAGAGATTTCTGTCTTTGAGGTGGAAGCTAATAAATGCAACAGAACTGTATCTGTACTGTCTCGTGGAGTTTGGGCTGCACCTGACAGTACCACTCGTTCAGCACTGCTATAATTTCAAATGGTCGCTGAATGAGTGGCCATTAACTGAGGACTACCTGTAAGGTATTTCCAAGCAGTAGTAAGATATTCCTAAGATATCTGAAAAAACTGAAAAGAAAATTGTCAATTCAACTACCTAGCATTTCCTTTTTAGTTATCAAAATACATTTTAAAATGTAAAAAAAGGTTTTTAAAACATATCCTCAGTTATATTATCACTATTCATTTTTATCAGTTATAAGTTCTCCTTAGATAATTTTGTTTAACTGATAAACTTTTTACAATTATAAAGTGTATATTCCATTATTGAGCACATCCAATAGCCCTATTTAGTTGTTACGAGTTCACTGCTTTTTCATAAAACGAGCATAGGATGTCTTGTGCACACATGCATATCGTGAAGATGTTTGTATCAGGGAGGCCTTTGCATACATGTTGATTTTCCTGCAAGCTTAAATGCTGCAAAATCATGATGTAACCAAATTTGCAAAAAGTTACACATATAAAGAACTCAGTATAGATATTCACACCAAACCTTCTAAAATAACATCATTGCTTGTATGAATTCAACACTTTTTGTAATGCTACTGTCGTCAGTTCTTCTAATACGTTTCTTCTATGTGGAAGAGGAAACTGGAATAGAAATATGTTACTCTGAGTGAAACTTTATAAATTTGACACATTTGATCACACATTGCATTTATGATTGTATAATCTGAATATTCACAATCAACAATACAGTTATTTACTCTTTATATCATACAGAGTAACTGACAGCTTAATAACAAACAGTCCTTGCTTTCAGAAATTTCTGACATTAATGATCGCAGTAGCATCCTGACAGGCATAAAGAAAGAACTAAGCAGAATTTTTTACAATTGTTAAGTAAGTAAATATAAATTCCCAAATGAAAAAAGCCAGTCACTTCCAGTGAGAAATGGCAAACTGACGCCCCGTGCTCTGCTGAAGACGTTGCAGCTGAAAGGCAGCTGGATGTAGGATTCAGACTGCCGATAATTCTCTCCAGATAAAAAAGATATCTTGAGATTACCCTCACGCGTTCCAGACAGGTGGTTTTTTTGTGAGTCAACAGCAGAAGCTGATGTTTTTACAGTCACTTGTGATCAGCTGGGAGTCATGGGATTCAATCATCCTCTGAGACATTAATGTAGCCTTTTCATGGACTCAAAGTTTGACCAAACCTCATATTTTTAATCACCTTGGAGTTTAATTTTTTTCTTATTTCTTTAAAACTGAAAAAACTTTCGGAACTCCAAGTTGGGCATTCACTGGGTAAGTCTCTCTTCAATCCATTTAAAAAGAAAGAAAACTATGTGCTTCCAGTTTTGTAAGATCTTTATTTTTTGCAATATATATATATAACAAAAGGGGGACTATAGTGTTGTTTTTTGGGAAGTTTTTAAACACTAAGAATTTGGATGAAATTGATTTAAAGAAAGACTTTGAAGCTAATTAAAAAGATCCTCTAATGTGGGGGAAAAAATCATTTTTATATTTCGACCTGATAACAAAGCTTTGAAGGTTAATCAGTAGACAGCACTAGATGGCTACTTTAAAGGAAACGTTTTATAAGCTGGCTCAAGAAATGCTTGGACTATTTAACCCAATACTGAAGCCAAAAGTTGTTGAAGAGGAGCAAATCCCTTTGAATAAAACTGAAATGGACTTTAAGGTGAACTTAAAAATTATAACCCACAAGAAAGAGACGGAAATATTGGATTTACAAATGGAATTGGATGATCATCTAAAAATAAAAAAAAGATATACAAATAATGTATCAAAATGAATGATGTGGATTACCTGTTTAAATTGGAATATAAGAGATCTACTGGAGTGGCTACATTGAAATTACAAATGGACTTTGATAAAGATGACAAGGATTTCAAGAAAAAAGACAAGGATAGTAGAAGCAAGCAGATGTTAGAACTTTGTGGGATTCAAGGATTGATGGGAGGAAGAAGAAAAAATGCAAAATTGGTTTATCTGATTATAGGTAAGTAATGGGTTGCTATCTTTGGTGATGTTTAATGGTTACTTTGATTGGATAGTTCTTTTTTGGAAATGTTCAATTGGGTGTAATGGATTAGTTTGTAATAGCTATGTTACTATTTTTGGTATATAAATAAGGGGTTATTATTTCCGGTAATGTTTAACAGTTTTTATTTTTCTGTAACGTTTAATTGTTAATTGGGATTAATAAGGGGTTGCTATCTCTGGTGATGATTAATGGTTATTTTTTATCTTTTTGTAATGTTTAATTGTTAATTGGGATTAATAAGGGGTTGCTATCTCTGGTGATGATTAATGGTTATTTTTTATCTTTTTGTAATGTTTAATTGTTAATTGGGATTAATAAGGGGTTGCTATCTCTGGTGATGATTAATGGTTATTTTTTATCTTTTTGTAATGTTTAATTGTTAATTGGGATTAATAAGGGGTTGCTATCTCTGGTGATGATTAATGGTTATTTTTTATCTTTTTGTAATGTTTAATTGTTAATTGGGATTAGATTTTGATTATTAAGAGAGGGATTAGGGAGATTATGTTTAAATGGAAAGAGGGACTAAATGCTTATGTTGTTAATTATGTCTGTTAATTTTTACACCTTTTGTTGATTAATAAGGAGAACTGAGTATTTAGAGATGGGTCTATAGAAAATGGGGTGAAATATGGAATGAAGATGTATTTGGTTGTATTTTAAGAGACAGTGATAAATTGTTAATGTTGTATCTGCTTGCTGGGGATGAAGGGGGAAGTTTCTTATCTTTTTTGAGAGGGATTTTTTTTCTCTGCACCTTCCTAATATTATTATTTTTTCCTTTATTTTAATGTATTTTTGTACTAGGTTTTTGTATTAGTTTTATCTGTTTTATATAATCTTTAATAAAATTATTAGGAAAAAATTTAAAAAGTCAATTAATCAAATAAAGCATCTCCATTTCCTCAACCTTATTTTCTGATGGCATAATAACAATATTATTTATTTATTTTATTTATTTATTAAATTTATCTCCACCCATCTCCCCTGATGGGGGACTCTGGGTGCCTCACATAACCCATTAAAACAATAAATATATATACAATCACATAAAACATAAAAACTGAACAAAACGTTACTAAAAGAAAAGAAAAAAGAGAAAATCCAAGAGGCTGATGGTTTCCAGAGCTGCAGACAGGCCTCTAAGGGGCTAGCCATCCCATGCTTAATGTCTTCCCTCCCCACCCCAGGCCAAGTGGCAGAATATATATCTATCTTTCCTGTGATCCTGCTTGAAAAGTAGTTCAGCAGATTTCATTTTAATCCTTGGTGCACACTATAAGGATGTGTACAATGTACATGAGCTAATGCTTTAAAAAAATGCAACAGTCATAGAGCTTCAAGCATGTTCTTATTTATCTGCACAGAATTAAGACTTCATTCTTTTTACCCAAATAAAGCATGTAATTATTTTTATACTTCATCATCAAGCACAGTGAGAAAAAGTGGGCAAATTCCATATCAATAGTATTTAATTCTCTAGACATCTCATTGCTCTGTAAAGAATCTAGGTAATACCAGAACTATAAATATAATTGCAGATTAATTTGGCTTTTTTCACATAAACAACCATCTGTGTACATAGAATGCTATAAACAAATACTTACTGTACCATGGGAAATAGTTAGGAAGCCATTTTTAACAGTGCACTTTCTCTTCTGCCACACTTTCCTGATTCTGTTTTATTAAAAAGAAAAAGAGACAGAGTGATCTATATTGTAAATTATTATTGTTTGTTTATATATCCAATTTGTCACTGCCTATCTCGTTAAAAAGTGACTCTGGGAGGTTTTAATTAACTTGAGCTTTTGGAGAAAATCCCATTTTTTTTCTTTTTTTAAAACATTTAAAATACTGTAGCATTACTGTACATACCCGTCACTTTTCTTATAGAGGCTGCCATCTCTTTCAGTGCCATGCTCCTTATTTCCCTGAGGTTGATGTAAACTGTAAGTTGTACTCTGACGGAGTTGAGAATCCTACAAGAGAAATATTGGTTAGAGATTATTGTGGCTTGGGTAGCTGCTAACCCAATCATCTCAGAATCATTTTCTCCTCATCTCATTATTCATATTTGAAGAAATATGAACTGCTAAGTTCACTAAAGATGTATCATGAATAATAACCACACAACATCAACATCATCTAAATATACCTAGGCTGTAAATGCTGTAGGGAGACAATCCCACGGGTTTGAAAATCCATCGCAGTTGCAGTGCTAAAGGCTCTTTCAATTATCACATGAGTCTAGTATATAGACCAGTGTTTCTCAACCTTGGGAACTTGAAGATATGTGGAATTCTCCAGCCAGAATTCTCCCATTCAGAAATTTGGAGAGTTCATTTATTTATTTTATTCAATTTATATGTCTGCCCATCTTAAAGAGTGACTCTGGGCAGCAAACAGAATTGAAATAGAATAAAAACAATAACAAACATTATAAACATTAAAAATACAGGCAACCTGAGAAACAACAACCCAAATCACTAACACAACCAAGAAGTGGGTACCCGCACATGCTCGGGGCCCCAGGCCCTAGCACAGAACCAGGTCTTTGAGGCCTTACGAAAGGCCAGCAGGGTCAAGGCCATCCTGATCTCTGGAGGGAGAATGTTCCATAAGGTGGGTGCTACAGCAGAAACGGCACGTCTTCTAGGGCCCGCCAGCCTAAATTCTTTGGCTGACAGGACCCAAAGCATGCCCATCCTACCAACAGGATTGGATGGGCGGAAACAACTGGAGGGAGATGGTTCCTTAAGTAACCCAGTCCTAAACCATGAAGGGCTTTAAAGGTGACAACCAACACCTTGAATTGCACCCAGAAACACACTGGCAACCAATACAGCTCACAGAGTAATGGTGTTACATGCGCCAAGTAACCGGCACCATTTACTACTTGCACTGCCGCATTCTGCACCAGTTGAAGCTTCTGAATGCTCTTCAAGGGCAGCCCCATGTAGAGTGCATTGAAGTAATCCAGACAAGAGGTCACGAGGGTATAGGTGACAGTGAGCAGGGTCTCTCGGTCCAGGAATGGACACAGCTGGCACACAACCTGAAGGTGTGGAAAGGCACTCCTAGCCATAGCTGCCACCTGCCCTTTGAGTAGAAGCTGAGAGTCCAGGAGGATCCCCAGATTTTGCACCAGGTTTAAGGCGGTGCCACCCCGTCCAAGACCAACAATGGAAGGTTCCTGGCACCAGAAGGTCCAAACACCTAAAGCCACTCAGTCTTGCTTGAGTTCAACCAAAGCCTGTTGCGGCCCATCCAGGCCCCCACAGGCTCCAGATACTGGGATAGGATGTCCATAGCATCACTCAGGCAGCCTGGTGTGGAGATATAAAGCTGGGTACCATCAGCATATTGGTGATACCTCACCCCAAACTGTTGGATGACCTCATCCAGCCGCCTCAAGTAGATATTAAACAGGAGGGGAGAAAGGACCAAGCCCTGCGGCACCCCACAAATTAGGGGCTGCGGACTGGACCTCTCCCCCCCATCATCACCGACTGGAATCGGCCCTGGAGGAAGGAAGAGAACCAACACAACACCATGCGGACCACCCCCAACTCCCAGAGCCAGTCCAGGAAGATACCGTGATAAGCCACTGAGAGGTCAAGGACAAGGATAGACACACTACCCCCATCCTGTTCCCGCCAGAGGTCATCTAAGAGTGTGACCAATGCTATCTCCATCCAATACCCCTGCCTGAATCCCAACTGAAAGGGGTCTAGATAATCCATTTCATCCAGAGCCCATTGAAGCTGCAGTGCAACCACCTTTTCCACAACCTTCCCTAAAAAGAGAAGGTTGGAAACTGAACAAAAATTGTCCAAAGTGGTGCTCAGTCCTCATTCAGCTATTTCTTTGTCAAGGGTGGTATTTTTCTTTTTGGGTGGTATTTCTGAAATTCTGCTAATACAATGTGAGTGTGGGTTGTGTTGCTTTGGCTGTAGAAGTGATAGTATGAGGAGAACTGAGATCACTATTAGCATGTATAAACTTTTGACCTGTATCCAACTGATCCATGTTAAATAATTAAATGTACAATCTCACAAAATGCAAAATAGAAGAAACAATTGACATGCTGGTATCTTAAGAAGAAAACATCAGTTTCTTGAAAAGCACATGACAATCATGCAGAGTATTTTTTATTAAAAAAATATTTAAAGGACTTACTCTCCTAGACTTCGGTCACAAAAGGCAAATGCATTTTAGGAAGAAAAGTAGATCAGTTGCAATGCAAAAACCACATACAGCAGATAGCATACCAGAAGAATATAGTGACAGGTTATATGCATACAGCTTTGAAAGCGTACTTTTCTGTACTCACTCAAGTTTCGAAGATGTATATCCCAAACTACCAATGAACAGATTCTATACTAAAGTCTTTACATTGTTTAAGGATACAACAGGTGGGGACATGGTGATTAGCATTCAGAAGCAGCAAATAGTAACATACTAACAGCTAAATATTTTGTTTCCTACTTGTAAATTACAGGTAATTCATCCCAATCTGCAAAGGCTAGAAGCCTTCGGGGAGTCTCCTCACTAAAGCCATAACCCAACAAAGAAACCTGCACTTACAGAGGCGTTACTGCACGCTCAGCTAGAGTGTCTATGAAGTTTTTATGCATTTATAATTCTAAGCTGTCCCCCTATCTTCCCCCTCTGATTCAGTAAACTTGCCTCAAGCTACACCCAGTAGTAATTTTAATCAAAGCAGCATGTTGGAAACTCTGATAGAGAGACGGGAACTTGTCTGGAGATGGCCATGGTGAAGGTTGCAGAGGGATACCCATGGATGCCAACGCAGGGTCTATATCTAATATAAGGCAGAATTTGCAATCTTTTTCAGGCTGAGGTGACTTAGCTTTTGAGCGGAATGCCAGGATCTGAACTTCCCCAAAGGAGTGGGATCAATATAAAGTGGATGAGGTCAGGACAAAAATTAAATTCAATTTACATTTATTAGAATTATAATTTAATTAGTTAATGTGATTACTCACCATATACTTAATAATTTCCCCCTTCTTTCACACATAAAAAATTGTTCTAAGATAAATTCTGGAAGGACTCTGGGAGCTAAAGATTGTATACAAAGGCATATAAACCTAAGAATCCACTGGCAACTTTGCAGAAAAAGGCAGAGATTTGACACTTTCAGCAGAAATCCTTGTTTGTTTGTTTACAAGAACTTTGGGAGCAATTCCAAAAGCCATCACATGACTACAGAATAATATATTGAACTCTCCCTGAAAAAAATAGTTTAAAAATCCTGCAATTCTGTTATGATAGCACCCAGTTAAAAACAAGTCCAAAAGAATTTGTGCAGGAAGAGAATAAGCCTTGCCGCAATTTTCTAAGAAATCTGAACAAAATCATGTTGAATCTAATGTAAAATATATTAATTTCATACAATCAGTAAAACTGTAAATGCTTCCATTAAACTTGAAAGGCATATTATATCAGTTTATATGCTCACCTCCTTCTGATCAACCTGAAGTGCAGATTTTAAAATATCCCTAAGTTGAATTAATTGTTTTCTTTCTTCATCCTGCACTTGCTTTATCTGGAGTGGAGACATAACAGTTCAAAATAAAATTGTCAGGGCGCATTTTGTATGGGGGCAGGGAAAATGCCTCTTGCCAGAGAGACTGTATCTCCTTATCATAGTTGTTGTGAAGTCTCCACTATCAGAATAGTGGAGCATAGTTCTCAGCATCTGTTGCTAAGAAACACAATGAGGGGTAGGATTGTAATGTTCTCATGTCTCGATTGTAGGCTTTCTCCAAGAATCTTGTTAGCCATAATGAAAAGTAGTGCTAGACTAGGCACTTTTTTAGTCTGAGGAGGCAATTCCATCTACATTTTCCTGTTGTGATTAACATTAATTTTAACTGTTACCTTGTGCTGCAGAACATTTATCTATGTGGACATTAAGAGTTGACACCAACTTGTTGGTACATAATCAGTCAATCAATTATCACAACTAGGTTCTTTCTTATCAATATTTGATAAAAATGAGGCTAATAAGGAAGGGCACAGAAGTATGTACCTGAGGGGTTACAAGATGAGAAAATTGTGACTCAGTGGTCTATGCTTTATCTCTATTATTGTCATTATTAGTATTTATACTTCTAATCTACTCAATAACCAATACATTCTAATTGGATTAAAAAGGTATTAATATAAAAGACAGACTTTCACCCAGGTTCTTTCGGCATGATTAGATTAGAACAACATCTAGAGGCTCAGCTAACAGAAAACCAACTACTCTTCTGCACATCAACACTGCTAACCTCCAGTAGACCATTACTAATTTCATTCCCAGACATTTATTTATACTTCAAATTTAGTCACCACCCATCTCCCTCAAGAAGCAACTCCACGTGGTTTACAATAAAACAAGAATACTAATTAAAATACAGTAAAATAATGTACATAAATAAATAATTTATGACCCAGAAATGTGTTTGCAGGTTCATTCAAAGGTTTGGAATTTTCCCAACCCTTCTGTCTTCCCAGGGGATAGTCTTCTGTAACTTTACATCCACCCACAGCAGTATATGGAAGAACTCTAAACACACCCCATAGTAATTAAATGAATAATTAAAATCATCAAACAGTAAAAGACAAAAATGTAACAGTGTATAACAAAGTTAATTTTTAAAAATATCTAAAAGGTAATATATTCCTGGGGCAGCTGTTACCATATCACAATTTTTTAAATTGTGAGCTGCCCAGAGTCACCCTCTGGGGGAGATGGGCGGCATATTAAACAAACAAACAAATAAATAAAAAAGACTGAATAAACAGGCATCTCTTCACTTGTTGTTTGGATTAGAATAGCTCAGAGCAGTGTTTCTCAACCTTATCAACTTTAAGATGTGTGGACATCAACTCCCAGAATTCCCCAGCCAGCATGCATCTTAAAGTTGCTGAGGTTGAGAAACACTGGCTTAGAGGACCAGATGCGCCTCTCTCAGGAAAGAGTTCTGTCGTTTGGATGGTGCCACTGAGGTCTTCTTCATGGCCACTACACTGCAAGCTGATCCCATAAACAAGGCGTCCCCATGTGATCTCAGTTCACATGTGGGGTAGTAGTGGAAGAGGTGACCTTTTAAGCACTTGGTTTCAACTCAGCTGCATTACCATGGCAATCCAGTAATACCAGTTTGCATGATCACAGGAGAGCTAGGCAGGCAAAATATCACCACATATCTGTTGCTGTTTTACTTAAATTTGCCTCTTCTCTTGATCGCCATGTCCAGAAAATCTAGACATACTTCTTCTCCATTTTTTAATTTTTTTTCAATTCAGAAATTTAAAACCTGTTTTTTCCACCAATATAGAGCCCCTCATAAATTATTTACTTTTTTGCTTTTAAACTTTAAATAAATGCAGCTTTTGTTTTTGTTGCTTCTGTTTGTTTTTAAATACAATTTTGTGTTTTATGAATTTTATGAGCTCCCTCAGAATGTCCAGTTTAGAAGTTGGGATGAGTCCAAAAAAATATGACTAACATACAGCTACTTACAGTGTGAAGATCTGTGGAGAGCTTTTCTATTGAGGGTTTGAGGCTTTCAACTGCTTTTAGACCATCCTGAAAGAAGCTTTGAAAGGAAAAAAAACGTTTTTTTAAAAAAGGAACTATAAATGTTAATGTAAGGTTTCCAAAGTTTTGTAAAGGATTAGCTAATGCAAAGCATTAGCTTTGCTTAATATACATTTATGTATTTTATGATGCTCAAGGGGTCCACTACTGAAATTAGAAAATCTGTGAAAAGACTTTAGCATACCTACATTTAATTAATACTTTCTGCAATAAGGAATCTTTAATGGCATAAGATAGGCAAGAGCCAGAAATCTCGGGATAAAGACAATGGCTGGGTTCACACAAAGCAATGAATTTTAATCATGGTTTACTGAAGAGGAAACTGCTTTGGGATTTTTAGTATATAAACGTTTTAAATGAACACATATATTAGAAATAGGCCACAATGGATCAGCTTATATATCACACCAAGTCACAGACTAGGAGTGATACCACTGGAGGGAGAAAGGACAGCATATTTGGTGTTTCTTTTCTCCCCTTTTCTTTTTGGACTCAGCGTGGGATTTAATAAACCTTATTTATTTTCAGGACATTCCTGCTGCCCATCTAGGGTTGGAGGCAGAGTTATCCCCAGTCACTGTTAAAGTCCAGTTTGTACTGCTAAGGTACTATAAGAAATTAGAAAGCCTTCAAGGTAAATTTTGCTACCTGCTTTATTGGGGAGGGGGCAGGAAAAACTCATATCCTCCAACTCATCTCATATCCTCCAACTTTTGTCTCATATCCTCCAACTATACTCCCTGCTCCCCATGGAGGAACTTAGATTTTGGACCAGAAAAAGGTGTAGAGATCGGTTCTTCAAAAGGGATGCCAGTAAAGACACCATTGTAGTAGCCATTGAAGTTTTCATTCTGGTACCCCCAGTCAAAAGAAACACAGAAGCCTCTTTCCCAGTATCTGGTTAATATGACCTGTGCACCACCCAAGAAGGCTTTACATCCATCCACTTACAGATTATGCCTTCAGCATATCTCAAAAGGAAAAGACATTCTGCAAACACTTCATAGAGCAATACTTTTGTCCCTGTGGCACCTGCCAAGTAGAGGACATCATTCACTATGTCCTCTACTGCCCTATCTATGAGATCAGTGGAAAAACATTGGCGATAGAAAGACTGAGAGGATCAGATGCAGAAGGATTGGATTACCTTCTTGCAGATGCAATTCCATTTGTTAGCAGTCAGGTCGCTAGTTTTGCTACTCTCTTCTAAACTCAGTAATAAATGTATATGTTCAAAATTGTAGCACTGGGTATTTGTTCAATTTAATTTCCTTGATTGTTGTACTTCTTTTTATGTACGTGGCATTTCTTTTTATTACTATTATTTTTCTTTTTATGTCCTGCCACATTTTTATGACCTGCAGTCACAACAATAAACTGATTACTTACTTACTTGCACCTACTTTATTTTGATTTATTATTATTATTATTGCATGTATATTCCAGCTTTTGTTCATTCCAACACTCAAGGCTTAATTGTTTAATTTTAATCTTAATTTTAATGATTAATTAATTGTATTACCTAAATTTGACAGTTTCAGCACAACACCCTGGAAAGGGATCTTGGGCTCACTTTTGCTGTAAACTATGATTTACAAATCCTAGTGGCTGGATTCACACAATACATTAAAATAAATACAGTATAAAAGGGGCTTATTCAAGAAAACTGGTTAGACAAATCATACTTCTCAGCCATAATTTTCTATGAGATATTATGGGTAGTTCTCACTTAATGACCATTCATTCAGTGACTGTTTGAAGTTATGACGACACTGAACAAATGGTACTTATGCCCAGTCCTTGAAGTTACGGCCGTTGCAGCACCCCTGTGGTCACAGGATCAAAATTCAGGCACTTGGCAGCCTGCCCACATTTACGACCACAGGGTGCACTTCAGCTTCCCCTACCCACCTATCTCAGCCATCTCTGACCTTTTTGGCTGCCCTGAGCTCTGCTGGCCCTGCTGCCCTGGACCCCCACCATACTGCACTCCACCGCCCTGCCCCCCTGCACTCCGCCACCCCTGATGCTCCCAGCTGACCTTCGCCATCTTCTTTCTCCCACTGCTGATGAGGTGCACCTGGCCTGGCCCTTCACAAGGCTGCTGAGCATAGGCCAGTGGAGTGCAGGGTGGCAGGAGTGCAGGGCAGAGCACAGGGTGGGAGGGGCAGCAAGGGTGGCGCAGTGCAGGGTGGGAGGGGCAGCAGAGTGCAGGGTGGCTAAAAGTGTAGAGCTGGGGGGAGATAGGTGGGTGGGGGGAGTTGAAGCAGAGGCAAGCACAGCAGAGCAGAAGCATGAGGTCCTTGCGTAATGATGGCACAATCCTGACCTAACAACCACAACAAGGACTACTGAAACTGACGTCGCTAAGCAGTGTAGTCACATGTTTCACCTAACAACCACATTGCTTAGCAACGGAAATTCTAGTCCCAATTAGGGTCGTTAAGCGAGGACTACCTGTACTATACCACTCTCTTGAGAAGAGAGTTTCAGAGGAGAAAGTGTACACAAAAGTATACTCTATTCCTGATTCTTCAGGCATCTGACATTTGAGAATAAAAGTATTAAAATATCCCCACTGCACTATTTGTTCCAATATTGTGGCTTAGCTTTTTTCCTTGCATGAGAAAAACTAAAGTGCCAGCAAATCATACACCTAGATTAACAAAAAGCGGGATTTAAATTGTAATGTGATGCTTAATTAAGGGTTAGAACTCAATGCAGAGCTTTGTGGTACCATGATCTCCTAAAAAGATAAAAGAATTTGTATGACCTGTCCATGAATAAAACTAATGATTTCATTGGGGTTAGGGTTTGACAAGAAATAGTTATGCCATATTTAAATTTTAATCTATATATCTATCAAGCCCACATAGCTGGCAAACTCCAGAAGGAAGAACCACAGAAGTTTCAGGAAGGCATCTTTAATGCTCGTCACGGTAATCAATCAATCAATTTATTTACTGTGGTTGTAGACCAATACAAGCAGACTGCCCTGTGAATATATCTTAATAGATAATAAACAAAATAAAATTTAAAACAAAGTTAAAATACATTTATAAAACAACCTAACTAGCATCTATGAGCAAGGGAGGTTCAGGATACAGTCTATATGTAAGTTATAAAATAGACACTAAAATTATATAAACTATAATAACATCTAAAATTGCAAAAAAGTGATATTTAAAATTTAAGTGGATTTCAGTTACATAGTTACATAGAGTGTGTTTAGCTAGGGGAAAATTGGCCCATCAAGGTCCAGCAGATCTTCATGCTGCTGCACAAAACGTAGCCACATGCGCTGTATCAGAAGGCAGTTTGTCTATGAGCAGCATCTGGGCACAGGTTGAGTCTGGGCAACCAGGATTAGTCAGGGTAAAAACATAATCTTGAAAACTCTTAAAAGTAAGTTACCAGATAGGCTTATGGCAAGCCAGTTACAGCTCTCTGAAACATTTCCTTCCCATAGCCTTCCTTCTGGGCTGGGCTGCCTCTTCTAGTACTCACTGAACTCCTCTTAAGTCTGATTCTCACAGTCCCTCACAATATCACAGGGGTTTTCAAACTGCAGAACCATAACTGTCCAAGTGGGAAGCAATGTTTTTACATTGCTCCTGCTTTGCCTGAACAAGGTTATCAGATCTCAAAAAGTTTGCAACCCTCTTATTCCAAGTTCCTTATGAACTGGGAGGGTGTCATAACAGAGAGTTTGAAGACCCGTAATTCATATGACATGCATGTAGTAGTCTGAAAGGGTATAACATGGAGACAGAAAATCTTAACTCAAATGTATGCTTCATGACATTATTATGGAGTTTTTAGCTGTGATGCTTTAATGCTCACGTAACAGGACCAACGCAGCAGTCCTTGGGAGTTTTCATTAATTCAATCTCCTAAGTCAAGACAAACTGCAATGTAATTTTGTTGCCTGAGAAACAGGTGGCAGACAGGCCTACAACCAAATCCTTGTTTGTTTATGTTCAGGTATGACTATAATTAATTATTATCTGTCTACAGTTCATTATTATGGCTGGGATCACATATCTTGCCAAGCCATAATTCAGTTCACTTTTAGTGTTAAATTATGGTTCAGATCAATAAATGATGGTTATATAAACCATGACAGTACAATGGTTGAAGCAAGCCAGTTAATTTATCATTCTCAAAAAATTATTTTCAAATATTATCTTCAGACTTTCACATGTAAGTTATGATCCCAGCCACCCCAATAATATCTTCTGTAAATCTAGGAACCTAGCTAGTCTTGTGAAATTAACGTCTTTCTCATCTTGCTTACCTTCCACAGTATGGGTAGGCAATATGATGCCCACACACACCTCTTTTGGTTCAGACCAGGTTCCCTGCCCTTCTTAAAGATTCTCCCTCTTAAAAAAATAAAAGTGCTGCAATGAAGAGCACCAGTCTCTTAGCATCAGAATCATCTGCAGCAATACTTATGGATCCCACACGTTCCATGGAATGGCAGAGACCATCTCTGAGGGCAAGTTTGCCTTCTGGTAAATGAGCATTTTGTGACTGGCTCTGACCAATATTTTGTAAAAGCACCTAGTGCAGGTCTCAAAATCCCAAATTTGCCCCTGCTCTGATAAGATTGCCTGTCCCACAGTATTATAGAATTCATGTTCCATAGTATTATCCTGCAGAGAAATTGCCAATGATGCCTGATATTTAGCAGCAAAGTCCCCAATCATGCAAGCAGATTAAACTATATGTTTTGAATTACTGTATGTTCTTTCTGAGTCCAGTGAACTAATTTACTTCTTTGAAACAACACTGGTTTAGACCTGTTTTTAACAGGAAGATTGCTTTTTGCTACAACGCCCAAAGGTGGGATGATGAAAATCAGAATTCTGCAGTTTCTCCTTTCTTATTTTAGCCAAGTGAATGAGGGTACGGTTCTACTTCCTCTCCCAGTTAGTAACTTAACAAATTCCACTTGGCAAATTCTACAAAATACAAAAGCTGGCATGCAAGTGTTGGGCAAAACATGAAGTATTTTGAGCTTAAAACATGCTGTTTCCGAATTCCAGAACAGAATGTTATGACTTTATCTGAAGTATTCCAATGCCGATCCAATCATTCCAGAAGTGTTCTGAGCTCAAATGGGCCTCTATGGAGCTTAGAGCACTTTTGGAGTGGTCAGAAAACTTCTGGCAAAGTTGGAAGAACTTGTCTTAAATGCAAAGAACCTGTTTTGAATTAAAAAACACAGTTGCAGCTTGAACTATTTCAAACTTTGAAATTTTTGGCATTCTCCTAATAGCAGCCTGCCTCACTTTTCTTTAATGGCAAGATTTATGACTAAATGTCCAGGTGGAAATTAAAGATAAAATATTAGTATATGCCATAATATTAACTCAGTCTATGCCTCATTTAAATGGAAATAATAAACCCTTAAAACAACAATCAGCCCTTTAAATCACTGTGCCTGATAGAAGAATATCTGTGAAAGACGAACAGTTGAGTAGTACAGATTTTTTTAAAAAGTCAGTGATGCAATTTGCCACACAAACTAATAAGAACAACATTTTCAGAGAGCACTTCATTATCATGATGAAAAACATACTTGCACTGTGCATGGAAATACTTGATCAGGTTTTGAAGCAAGTCAACTCCTTTCTTAATCTTGATTTCATTGACTTTCAGCAGGTACTGTTGACAAAGCACACAAAAAGAATATTTACTGTTTTGGAATTAGAGTCACTGAGCAAGTAATATTGAAATATTTTAAATCAGTTCAAACAACATAGCACTGTACAGTATATGCTGCCTGAGAAGGTTCCCTTAGTCATTAAGCTTCATGAATAAGATTAAGAGTAAATAATAATTTAATAATAAATTATTAATGATGTCTTAATTAATAAAATAAACAAAGGAGGCTATGGGCTACGTCCTATTGTACAGTTCTATGTATTTAAGGCTTCATTAAAAAGCAGCACTGTTGAAACAAAGGAGTTCTTCTAAACATTACCCTTCAGTAGTACCATCTCCTTAGAGCACTAGGAACATTTCCTAAGTAGAAACAAATGGTGTTGCTTGAGACAGCAATCTAAAATATGGTTGCTTGGAAATTAGGCCACTTGATTTATATGAGATTCACACGTAAATTATCGTGAATCCCATTATTTCCCTTCCTCAGCCCCACAAACATACACATATTGTATGTGACTGCTTAGCAGAATGCAATATAGTAATGCTGCTAGTCAATTTCTTTAAATAATACAAAATCGACTCGGTGTCCAAAAACTGAAATATATTTTCTATATGCAAGCCACTCCAGAACAGCTCTCCCCACTTAAAAACTATTACTCAGTGGACAAATATATGTTTTATACAAGCTACACATAAAATAGAACAAATAATTGATCATAAACACCTAGCATTGTTATCTCTGCTCAGATGAACAAAAACCAATTTCTTTTTGCTAAATTAATCTTGGAACCTAACTGAAAAAACGCCAGCAGAAAACACACACATGGATACAATAAACTTATTATGACCATATCCCCTTATGTCGTTAATGAGAAGATCCCTCTAATGGGTATTTTAAGAATGAAGTTATTTATCCTTTTATTATTGTGAAGAATGAGACACAACAGGGGAAAAATAACAGAAGAATCCCAAAGCACACACTGGAGTAGAGAAATCATCCTTTTCCACACAGTTACAGAGACATCTTTTGTTTTATTTATACCATTCTCAAAGTCCTTTTTGCCATAATTCCCCAGTTTGCTACTCTATTCCTATTCATATCTGATTTAGACATGATGCCATATTCTCATGTAAGTAGTAGAGAGGTGTGGGAAGACAAAAGGCATGGAAGAAGAGAGAAGCAGAGAGTTGCCCACCAGATTTCCAATCTCTTCCCCAAATGTAATTTCAAGAAGGTGAGTTACCATTGTATAAGACCAAAGAACAACCAAGTTGAAAACTAAAATTAGCACACTGAATTGCTGCAGAACAATCTATAGGCTGAAGAATCATTACAACTCTTCAAGGCATCAGCAGTGTTTTCTCACAGCTGTTAAACATCCCAGCTTAACTAAATCAACTGACATTTTCATTTTCTAACACTACTGTGCAGCAGATGGTAACATAAATGCGCAAAAGAGACAATCCTCTCAGCCTAGGATGGAACAGTTATATAAAGGGTCTGATTAAGGGGGCTGGTTTATTATCTGCAAATCTGTTGATTTATAATGGATAAAATGTAAAGTAATTGTGCCAACAGAAGAAATACCCTGAAATAAAAATCAGTAGAATCAAAATTCTCTTCAGACAGTTCTCCTGCAGAACCTGTATAACATGATTCATTTGTGTTAGGGAAGAATGAAAATTGCTCCTTGTATACTCTTACCTCACACATCTGCAACTGGAAGAATCTTCGCTCTTTTTCCATCTCTTCTGCTATTTCAGCGCCACTAATTTCTGTGCGAATCATTCCATGTAATTTAGCGTGTTCTTTTTTCTCTTTTTCTATTTTTGTCCTATATGGAAGAAAATAAATAAAATTATGCTTTACCCTAAGCTTCATTTGTTAATTGTTGTTGTTTCAGAACAGTACTACCCATTTTAAACTGAAGTACAAAGCATCACCAAGGTTAGTGAGGCAATACTGTTGTCTATAACTTTGGATCAACAACACTGTATCCTTAAACAAGAATAACTCAGGACCGACCAAGATCTGCTAGATCAGGGATGGCCAAAATATTTTGAGTTGCATGGCTCAGACACAAGCAGCCACTCTGAAGGATTTAGGTTTGTGGAGTCCTTGGGGTTCTCTGAGCTTTGGTCTTTTGCTCTGTGCACTGTAGAATTTACCTAGCCGGGTAAAGAAACATTTTCAAGAAAAGAAACAAACTCAGAGAACCCCAAGG